ACTCGTTATCCCAGTCGGATCAAAGTGAGATCAAAGAGTCAGAAAGGACAAAGAGTCCAGACACAGAGGCTGAATCACCAAGTGGCCCACCATCGAATAAAAATAAAAATACTGAGTTCAGTCCAGACGCTTCCTACACGTTTCCCTGCTCCTCCAGTCCAATCCTGGATGTTCAGTCGTGATCATTAAAATAAGAAGTGCTCTGAGAACTTATTATCTGGCCTCTGTATTGTAACACGGTCGAATCTGGGGCGTCAACATTTTTGAGTTTTTCAAGTGGGACAAGAGTGAGAAAAGGATGGGAACCTCTTGACTAATTTTCATATCTTTGACTGTTTGTGCTCCGTGACATTACAATAATCCTGTTTGCTGCAGTCGTTACATCACTTCTTTCACCACTCAGCAGAAGCTGCCGACAGCACTTGGACTAATTTCACAATAAGAGCTTTGTCTCACTGTATCCTCCAGTCTCCAGCTCTCAAGTCTCTTCAGATAAAGTGAAAACCCATTGAACCGCTGCATCATATCGATGCGGTCATTGCGCCTCAAGCAACAGGAAACCGAAACACATAATCTGACATAAAACCATCAACGATTACGTAATAAAAGCCAGAATACAGACGTTTAAACGGCCATGAAACACTGACATCAGTCAAGAAAACATTACAGAGGCTTTACTGGACGCTGCGACCGCAGACCAGTGAAAACACAAAGTCAATGGGAAATCTGTGGGGAATAAAACAGGGATCTGCTGACGGACAGACGGACAAACACGACCGAGCAGCAACAGCCAAGTACAGACGGACGACTGTGATTCAGTTACAAGAAACAGAGAAAGAAAATAGTTTTATCTGTCTCATAATGCAAAAAGCCAAGATACCAACAGGCGCTCTGGAATTTTCTGAATCCTCATGTGTCTCATCATCATCCCACACTAACAAAATATTTAGCCTCAAACTGTGCGGCTGAAGTTTTCTCTCTGAAGTCACATGTTTGGAGCTGTTTTCTCTGACTCGGCGCTGACAGCTCGTCCTCTCTCAGATCTGTCCAGGAGGAAAACTCCCGTAAAAAAAAAAAAAAAAAAAAACCCCGCAGGACGAGGTCAGAGCCTCGATGTCAGGACGGGTCTCGTGTTTTCACTGCACATTCTTTTCAATCAAGACGGCCTCGAGGTTCGGACCGGGAGGTCACCGGTTCGAATCCTCTGGAAACATCCAGGCAGGGAAAGACTGAGAAACGGCCTCAACGAGAACTGTCAAACAAGTGGGAAGTATTTATTTGGCTTTGACTCGATTAAGATTTTACTTCTTTCACTAGGAGAGATTTATTTATCTACATATATATCTATATATATATATATATAGATATATATATATATATATCACACGAGATAAATAAATAAATAAATATATATATATTTACTTGACTACATTTTGATGCAAATTCATTTTAAACAGTTTCCAACTATAAAATTGTCTTTATCATTGATTAATGTGCTGATTCATTTTCTTTACATACACTTCTTCTGTGTTTTATTTGAAGTGTTGATCCATCAGAAGATATAAAAACCATCTCAGTGTAGTTTTACATCTCCTCTCTCAGGCTTCTCTCTGCAGCTCTAGTAACAACAGGTCGGTGAGCCAATCAGAAGAGAGGAGGCTCTGAGCCTCTCTTCTGATTGGCTGACTGTTTTCTGAGTGATCCAATAAAAATAAAGCAGATTTCAGGTAAAAACACTGAGAGAAACCAAATCCTGCAAGGTTTGGATGGTGGGTCCAGGTGGGCGGGGCTTGGTGACTGCTTTGTTGTGACATCACAAAGTTCCAGAAGTCCTGACGGCTGGTTTTAAGGCTCAGTTTCTGAATACAGGCTGTGTGCATTTCTCTGTGGACTGAGGCTTTGATACTTTCACAGTATTAATATAGAAGCTAGAGCTGATCTATAATCACACTACACATGGACAGAGACCTTTACACTGGAGGAGCTTTAATGAATAATTTATAACACACTGTAATGTAGTTGTTAGCAGCTATAAGGATAATTTTAACTGTTTATTAATGTACAGTATTTATAAACAATTATAGTACTTAACAAATATATGAATAAACACTTAAATCTGCTTATAACTACATTACAGCGTGTTATAAACCATTTGTTTTAGATTCAATGAACATTAATTAATGTTTATATACTGCTTATAAATGCTAGATTGGGGGTGTTACCAGTTTCCCACAGCCAACAGCCGAAAACCCAAACTGTTATTACACATGTTACAATGAGAAAAGCAGCAGATCCTCACTGAGTGTCTGTCGTTTTAAAGCTCGTTTCAGCACCAAACTAAACTCTATTTACACAGTGCTGAAATCAGACCAGATGTATGGCATTAAAAAAATCACAAGAATAATATTGATGATAAAATAATGTTTGTGTTGAACTTTCTTTCTCATGCCTCTTTACCGCAGGACAGACTCCGGGAGTTAAAGGATTATTCCTCCATAAACTCAAACACTGAGCTCGGCCTCGCAGGAGATCAATTTGTCGAGCCGTAAAATACTGCAGCACCAGAAAATCCTCCACTGCTCCACCCGGACGTAACGGCAAGTGTCTTAATTAAAACTGGCCCTTCCTGGACACCATAGACAAAATGACACAAGCTCCCTGATTGGCTATAGGACACGCATCTCTTCCTGTTTTAGGGGGCGTCAATAAGCGAGTTTAACAACCAGTGAGTTTTAATGGGATCTGTGTGTAAAGCTTCTTCATCAATAGGCCTAATGACCGGTTTAAGCCCGGCAGCCGATAATCTGCCGATGGTTAGAGTCGGGTTATCGGATTGGCATTTCTCCGGGGCCAGGGGCTTCAAAGGCTGGTCGGAGACCCCACGGAGGGGTCGCAGGGTTTTCTCTGCCGGGTCCAAACACAACAACTGTATAAAGGTGTTTGAATCCGAGTCTCTGTGGGTCCTGAGCTGTAAAACAACTTAATGTGGGTGATTAACCTGAAATAGACACATTTCACACCTCTTTGCTCCGGGATTCTTTCTGCTTGTTCTGTAACTTTTAGACAATAAAACCTGCACACATTAACCTGTGCTGTAACTCAGTCTTATGAGTATTTCTACACCCACCTGCACGTAGATTTTATTGTTTATCATATGACTTGTGCAGGAAAAAATATATATTTAGAAATGTCTTTTTCTTCCTTTTTTAAGGTTGGATTTCTATATTTTTATAGAACACAGACATTTATTTATTTAAAGGAAAATATGTAAATTATCAAATTATATCTAATTATTTAAACAAAAACTTCAGACTTTAGTGGATGCAGGTAAAAGAAAGAAAACAGAACAAATCTTTAAAATAAAAAGGTGTTTAAATAATACAACTGAGAGTCTCAGACATTAAATTACTGTATTTAAGAGGAGAAATAAATTATAGTCTGGTTCACACTCAGAAACTCTGTTCATAATTATTTCATCACAGCTTAAATATCAGAAATATCGGGTCTCTTTCATGAGAGAAAAATAATAATAGTGACTGATTACATTAACGATTAATGAAGTTTGAGAATAATGGTTTATTAATTTGTGGAAAAATTTATTCTATAGGAATAATTCTAATAATGAGAAAAATAAAGTAAATCTGCACAGAAGTTTTATAAAATAAAGTCTGTTTAAATCATTAAAAAAGATATTTTAATATTTGTAGAGAAAAAAATTATATTTAACAGATCAGTCAAAAAGATTGATTTTATGTTTATAAAATATAAGTATCTACTTTTAAAATCTGCTTCTTTTGTAATAATAATAAAATATGAAAATATTTTGACAGCTCATTCTGAATCTGAGCAGCTACATGAATTTCCATGATGAAGTATGATTGAGCTGGTGGATGTCAGTCTTTGTTTATATTTCCAAAGTGTGATTCTCCAGAGACGCCATCTTGACCGGGACCATCCAATCACATCGCCCTCCGCTCACAAACACGTCACATCAGAGACGCTGAGACACTAACTGCTGCTTCGCTGTGACTCTAACAGCTGAGGAACAAACACCAGAACCAACCAAACCTCTCTGACGACGCAGCTTCCATCAGAGAAACTCATTAAATTCATTTAATGATTACAGTTAATGATCAGTGAACTCAACTCTTTCATAAGATCCTGACGGGACGCTGGCTGCTGGACTTGGCCTACAATGTCTTGGAAGCGCGCCGTCCACCCGGCCGCCTGGCATTAGGTATTAGTGGCTACGTGCCACGGGAAGCTCCGCAACTTCACAGGCGCATCTCCCCCGGATAGAGCCGGCCGCCAGGGCGTAGATCCATGCGCGCGCATCGAGGGACTCCAATTATTGGGTGACCATGCAGAGGCAATAGATGGACCTGTGGCCGGGCCCCTTGACCCTTCGCGCTGCCTCACACGCTGTGGTCACGACCACACACACGACTCATGCCGTCACACACACACACACACAACACACACACACCACACACCCTCCATCCCACCAACCTCCCCTCTCCCTCCTCCTGACGTCCTGCTGCGGTCAACAGCAGAGAGACTGATGTCCGGTCAACCGACGTCTGACTGACCTTTACCAGCGCCGCCACAAGGGACTCATCTATCTCTCTGTCTCCCAGCATCCCTCACCCCCTTCCTACCCTCTACCCCCCCCCCCCAAGTGCTAATGCAGCTGTTTATAACTGCCACATTGACTTTCTCCTGCCACTGTATGTAAATACAATCTGCTCTGATCAATGGACTGAGAGCTGACATGACGCTGACCACAACACACACACACACACACACACGCACACACTGAACTGCACAACCTGACACACACAAGTACACAAACATATATTCACACAAACACACAGAGCTCAGGATAAAACCTGTGAATACGACACATCTGCTCCCTAAAAGAATAAAAGTGACCTGAGCGTGCGGCCACAGGAAGTCTAGAAGAAGAGTGTGACAGAGTGTGACCCCCCCCCCCCACTCACCTCCCACAGGTGTCGCGTGTTCCTGACGGCTCCGGACTGCAGTTTGTCCAGCAGCAGAGGGACTCCCTGAAACGGGCCGATCCAGGTTCCCTGAGGAATCCTCTGAGCCGCACAGATCCCGTAACCCAGACCAGGAACTGTGCTGGTGCAGAGACACACCTGAACACACGGCCACAGCACACACGTCAAAAACACACACACAAAAACAATCCTCCGTTTCAGTTTATATATTTCTATTTTCTGGAGCGACTGGAGCCAACGAGCATCAGCCAGTTTCGAGTGAAAATGTAAATCAAACAGTTTCTGCAGCAGCTCGTCCAGATGTTCTGTAAACACGTAACACACTCGGGTCGTTCTGAGGGATTACTGGTGTTGAACACATCAGTGGTGATTCAACAGTCCTCTGGGGCCTGGGCACAGAATTACCAATCATCATTCATCACCATTATGTAATAAATAATCTGCCAATGAAAAACGTGCGAACTTTAAACTTTTTTTAATATTTTCTTTTCCAAATGTTCACATCAGTAGGATTTTGAAAGTAGAAATATAAAGAAATATAGAAATTAAGAACAATAAAAACCTAAATAATCCAGTGAATAACTTCAAGACTGTCACGTTGTCAATAAGACACATTATAAGATCAGTGGTCATCAACACGACGCCTCTTTAAGGACGTTTCCTGCTGATATGTCATTGGTTGTTTCAGAGGGAGGAGTCACATTCTGAGACATTGCTGTGGAGTAAAGTTCGTCAGCCCTCGGGGGCCCCCCCACCAGCCTGACGGGGCCCCAAGCAGCCGCCTGTTATAAAGACTTCAGAAACAGCAGCTGTTATAAACGGGCGACGCTGCGTTCACTGCCCACAGGACATCTGAGGGGTGACCAGTTCACCTGCTCCTCCTGTTTCAGATGTTACGACATTTTTAAATTTTAAATTTAAAAATCTTTGTTAGAACAGAATCTGATCTTGACACAGTAAATGAAAACTGTCTGATGTTGACAGACAGACAGACAGACAGACAGGCAGACAGACAGACAGGCAGGTGGGCGGAGCTGTCTCACCTCTCTGGGCAGGTCTCTGAGCCAATCAGGGACGTCCGGCAGGGTGACGGGAGCCGCCGAGCTGCTGGTGCCGACGAGTCGACGCAGAGAGTGAAGAGGGCCGTGCATCGGACACTCGCCGTTCCTGTTGTCTGCGCACATGTCGCAACCTGGAGACGAAGGTTAAACAGACTTTAACCTTTTATAACAATAAAGAAAAATCACACACACCAACACAAAACATTTACTTATGCAGCATGTGGTTTACAAGCCAAACTGCTACTTTAAAAACAAGACAAAAACATCTGTAACTGAAATGAGATTTTTAAGGTTTAAACGCTGCGTTTATGTCCTGAGTCTCTCATTTTAATCATCTTATATCATAATTTAACAGTTTTTTATGAATTTTAAATTTGTTATTCTATGTCACACCAGTGTTTCCATGTTTTCATTTATTTTAAGTGTCTTTTATTCTGACATCAGCAAATCCTTTTATCCACGGCCCCTTTCTTTGCACAGGAGACAGTAACGTTGATGTTGAATTTGAGACGTGTGGACCTGCAGGAACCCTGAACGCATCGTGTAAACTAAAAGATTTAAAAAGTGCATGAAGCAGCAGAGCAGGTGGAATGATTCATGGTTTAAACATTGACCTGAAGTGTTTTTGTATTGGTGTTTACAGTCAGAAGATGAAGTGATCCTTCAGCTCTGGCTCCTGTGGTCGCGTAAAAAAGTGAAAAACCGAAACTGAAGGAAAAAGGGAAAAAGGAAAGACGGAGCAGGATCCTGACGAAGTCCAAATGAGGGAAACAGTCCTCTGTGTTTTTCCAGGTTAAATGTGGCGAGCAGCGTATTGCTGGGAATTAGCGAGCGTCAACATTTACTCAGAGATGTAGTCTGACAGTAATGGATGTTAATTGACTGTAGCAACATAATGAGAGATTATTATCTGGACAGAAAACTCCCACAGAGCGGCGCAGAGCAGGAGAGGCCGAGAGGAACAGGATGTTAATGTTGCTTTTTTTTTTATGTTTTTCCCAAAATTAAATATCCTCCATCTGAGAGAGCGACGGCTGCTTCGACACCATGATTGATTGAAGTTAATTAAACCAGATTACGCTCATTTATAAACCACTAAATGTAACACAGGTTCACGGCCGAGTAAATGGGAAAAATCTCACAGGCTGAATTCTCCACAATCCTGCAGCGTAAACTGAGAGTTTTATTCCAGTGTGTGAACTGTTGGAACCAGCTCAGCTGATCTGAATCACCGGATCAATGTACGGAAACTCATTAGTGTCAAATAATCACGTTAACGCATTACACTCACACTTATGATAAAATACTGATCAAGTAGTTTGAACAAAAAACGAAGAATCATCAAAGTCGTCTAAAATCTGTCTAAAATCGTCACAAAATCTGTTTATACTCAACTCAGCAAATCCCATTCAAAAGGAGAAACAGTGGCGGATCAGACACACAGCACCTGTCAGTCTGAGGCGTTCGCTGACGGGTCTGAATGTGGGATTTTTTTTTTTTGTTGACAATAAGAAAAGAAGAATAAAAAAATCACCAGGTTCTCAGGTACATTGTGCAGACACCTGTGTGTTGTTGTGTTAATATTAGTTGAAACAGAGCTCAACATCTGGACAACATCTGGACGAATGTGGAGAATCTGAACATGAAGCAAAACTCATTCAATCAGTTCAATTCAGTGTTTTTAACAAAGACTTTCATGAAGTTACTGATGTGTCTGAGACACCACAGAGGAGACAAGGAGACAAGGAGACAAGGAGACGAGGAGACAGAGGAGGCGAGGAGACGATGACGAGACAGAGGAAACAATGAGGAGACAGAGGAGACAAGGAGACAAGGAAACAGAGGAGACAGAGGAGATGAGGAGACAGAGGAGACAATGACGAGACAGAGGAAACGAGGACACAGAGGAGACGATGATGAGACAGAGGAGACAGAGGAGATGAGGAGACGATGAGGAGACAGAGGAGACGAGGAGACAGAGGAGATGAGGAGATGATGAGGAGACAGAGGAGACGATGAGGACACAGAGGAGACGGTGAGGAGACAGAGGAGACGGTGAGGAGACAGAGGAGACGGTGAGGAGATGATGTCACAGGTTTGATGTCAACAGAAAATAAAGACGACCACACAACAACAGGACGACCTCATCACTCAGCTGCTGCTGCTGCTGCTGTTTTAAATAAAGTTTCATCACTTCATGAAACACAAACATGGAGCCTCATAGTCACTATATTAAAATCCACGAGTCGCTGTGATATTTATTGTTTTTCATATATTTACAATCTAGTTCTGAATCTGAATAATTATTTTTGACCATTAAACTTTTTAATATGTTGTTTTTAATATTCTAAAAATACTTTCTAATATATTACATTACGTTTTGCAATATAATATACATCAATATATATTTGTTTTAATTTAAATACTATTGTGACGATTATTACAAGACTTATTACAACACAATATTAAAAGTTATTATTGAATGTGTTTTTGTGATGATGAAGTCCGTCTTGTTTTGCAGCTAGATGCTAACACAGAAACACTTTCCTCTTTCACACTGATGAACTGGCTGTGAACTTGTTATGGCGTGTTCTCCTCGCCGCCCATCATTCAAACTCAGTATTCTGTTACATCCATCGCCAGTGTTTAGACAGCTCCGCTCTGCCTCTGATCTCCGAGCGGCGGACGCCATCTCCACTTAAAACGTCTGCGGGCAACTTCCTTCCACGTTTTACTGACGCTCCCTCCACAAACTCAGCTTTTCTTTTTTTTCTTTTGTACCTTCCTGAAAAAAACCTCGAAGCCAAAACGTTTTTATCTCTGCAACACATTATTCTGAAGGTTCAGGTATTAGTCTGCTTCATAAACACAGCAGCAAGTTCAGGTATTAGTCTGCTTCATAAACACAGCAGCAAGTTCAGGTATTAGTCTGCTTCATAAACACAGCAGCAACGGAAAAGTTCAGGTATGGACACTTTCCAGTTTGTACATTGGCACTTCTCTGCCTCCTCGCCTCCTCTCTTCCTGACTCCTCGCCTCCTCACTTCTCTGCCTCCTCGCCTCCTCACTTCTCTGCCTCCTCGCCTCCTCACTTCTCTGCCTCCTCGCCTCCTCACTTCTCTGCCTCCTCGCCTCCTCACTTCTCTGCCTCCTCGCCTCCTCACTTCTCTGCCTCCTCGCCTCCTCACTTCTCTGCCTCCTCGCCTCCTCACTTCTCTGCCTCCTCGCCTCCTCACTTCTCTGCCTCCTCGCCTCCTCACTTCTCTGCCTCCTCGCCTCCTCACTTCTCTGCCTCCTCGCCTCCTCACTTCTCTGCCTCCTCGCCTCCTCACTTCTCTGCCTCCTCGCCTCCTCACTTCTCTGCCTCCTCGCCTCCTCACTTCTCTGCCTCCTCGCCTCCTCACTTCTCTGCCTCCTCGCCTCCTCACTTCTCTGCCTCCTCGCCTCCTCACTTCTCTGCCTCCTCGCCTCCTCACTTCTCTGCCTCCTCGCCTCCTCACTTCTCTGCCTCCTCGCCTCCTCACTTCTCTGCCTCCTCGCCTCCTCACTTCTCTGCCTCCTCGCCTCCTCACTTCTCTGCCTCCTCGCCTCCTCACTTCTCTGCCTCCTCGCCTCCTCACTTCTCTGCCTCCTCGCCTCCTCACTTCTCTGCCTCCTCGCCTCCTCACTTCTCTGCCTCCTCGCCTCCTCACTTCTCTGCCTCCTCGCCTCCTCACTTCTCTGCCTCCTCGCCTCCTCACTTCTCTGCCTCCTCGCCTCCTCACTTCTCTGCCTCCTCGCCTCCTCACTTCTCTGCCTCCTCGCCTCCTCACTTCTCTGCCTCCTCGCCTCCTCACTTCTCTGCCTCCTCGCCTCCTCACTTCTCTGCCTCCTCGCCTCCTCACTTCTCTGCCTCCTCGCCTCCTCACTTCTCTGCCTCCTCGCCTCCTCACTTCTCTGCCTCCTCGCCTCCTCACTTCTCTGCCTCCTCGCCTCCTCACTTCTCTGCCTCCTCGCCTCCTCACTTCTCTGCCTCCTCGCCTCCTCACTTCTCTGCCTCCTCGCCTCCTCACTTCTCTGCCTCCTCGCCTCCTCACTTCTCTGCCTCCTCGCCTCCTCACTTCTCTGCCTCCTCGCCTCCTCACTTCTCTGCCTCCTCGCCTCCTCACTTCTCTGCCTCCTCGCCTCCTCACTTCTCTGCCTCCTCGCCTCCTCACTTCTCTGCCTCCTCGCCTCCTCACTTCTCTGCCTCCTCGCCTCCTCACTTCTCTGCCTCCTCGCCTCCTCACTTCTCTGCCTCCTCGCCTCCTCACTTCTCTGCCTCCTCGCCTCCTCACTTCTCTGCCTCCTCGCCTCCTCACTTCTCTGCCTCCTCGCCTCCTCACTTCTCTGCCTCCTCGCCTCCTCACTTCTCTGCCTCCTCGCCTCCTCACTTCCTGACTCCTCGCCTCCTCACTTCCTGACTCTTCGCCACGAGGAGCACCGATCACTGAGAAGGTCGAGGTTCAGCAACAAGCTGCTGGATTTCTCCTCCACAGAACCATCACACTTCATAAAGTCTATGGTTGTTAATAGCTGCGTTTGTTTCCAACACAGCTGTGAGTCCAGATGAGGACGGACCACACAGCGAGGCCGCCGCTCCGCTCTGTGAACCCACAGCGAAACAAAAAGCTCTCTGGAGCTTTTCACCTCTTTTAGCTACTATTTTTCATTTTACGGGACATTTACTCTCCGGTTCAGCCTCAGGTTTCATCAGGAGGGAAAAAAAAGAGAAACTGTCCTCGACCAGCTGACACACTCGGTCAGAGAGCAGCTGGTGGAGACCAAACTCTGAGCTAAAAGAGCGGGAAACCAAACAACACACGAGCCGTCACGTCGCTCTGTGTCCGCCGGACGTGTAGATTTCTGCTAACATGTCGTCCATGACGACCGATCAGGAAAAACAGAAACGCTTTTATTGTTAATCTAAATAAACATTTCCTGCACCTTCACAATAAAAGACTTCCAGGACAAAGAGGACAGAGCTCGTGTCCTCTGTAATGTTAGGTGACCTGACATAAAGAGGTTATATTCTCTGATTAAATACATGTTGGTTTTTAAAGCCTGAATTTAATGTTTCTACTAAATATCGTAAAGTTTGACTGAATGTAAA